AGATCGTCATTTGATACACCTCGTTCTTAATGCCGTTGTTGTTGATATCCACACTAATACGTTGCGGCATGCCGCCTGCTACAACAAGCCATAGGTATTTCGGGTCTCATTAACAAGCTTGATATAGCACTTCTGTGCTCCCAACGAAGGGCAGTCTAATTGAGTTGAGAAGAATGTCGGCCGCGGCTCCTGCTACCACTGCACCGGTGCCTAGAGAGCACGGGCTGGTGGCTCCGCCTGTGCCCGAACTGCGATGGAGCAACTCGGTTGTGCGACTCCCGACTAACGTATTCGCAAGGATTACATTACACGAATTCAAATAACTCTATTCTAGATGCCGGGAAACATTGAAAAGTGAAGTGCGGCTCATTTCGGCAAAGATTCCCTCCCAACTAACACAGTCAGACTGAACACCGGCAAAATCAAAGCTTGTCGCTGCGACGCGCGGCATGTGAGTCGGACACAGGAAACCACCATCACAAGAGTTCGGAGGCCTCGCAATGAGGCTTAAGTGTGCGCGTCCGCGTCTCATTGGCCCGGCGCTTCCGCCGCCGCCAATAGAGAGGATAGTTCGTAACGGGCTTGCTTCACACCCTCTTCTTCAACGAGATGACAATTTGAAAAGGCTGTCGCGTCTGGCGGGAACGGCGAACATGTCCGTTCTGAGGAAGGGAACCGCGAACTGTAATTCTAATACCTCGCTCCAGAACTTCGGACCGTTCGACTTCAACAGAGTTAGCGAGGAGGGCCATGAAACTGGGACAGCGGCATCTTGATCGACGGACAGGGAGATGCCTTGAGGGAGGGATATAAGGTTTTGGGGGACCAGACACACGCGGCGAGCCGCAACCAGGATTTCCAGGTCGAGAAGAATCGGCTTGCTAGTCATGGAACGCGGCAAGCGCGAGTTTCACGCCGTCAAGAAGTCGAGAGCGGCCTTTTACTTTACCACCTATCACATCTCTTCGTCCGCTGCGACGTGACAACTGAGATGAACGTGTGTCGTCTGAAAGTTTACACAGAGTAAGGCGGAAGTCAAAAGAGTCAGTCGCTGCACACATTGCCACCTGACTCATCGGAAGGAATCGTAAGCTCAGTCACTTTGATGCGTTCAGTAGGTAAGTTATTGATGAGACAGAAAACAGTAATCAAGCGGCGGCTAATTATCTTCTAGGGCTCGAGAAACTCCTTGACCTCGTAATTCCTCTTTGCATAGCCGAACCAGAGGCCCAAGATGATGATTCCGAGAGCAACCAGAACAGGGGAGGCGTAGTTCATTTCGTCTGCTAGAGCGGGGAGGTAATACGGGAAACAGTAGAAGATGAGTGCTACTGCCGACCATGCGAGCATGACGACGTTCGCCAGGAGGCCGAGCTTGGGATACCAGAAGGGGCCATGCTTGAATCTGGAGCGGCCTTGCATCAGAGCAAGAACCACGGGAATGCTGTAACTGATGTACTGAAGCAGAAGGCCGGTGGAGATGAGCGAGTTGAAGGCGAGGTCTGAAGCGAGATAGAGACAGCCAAAGATGGCCGTGCCAGACGTTGAGAATACCAACGACCAGAGTGGGGTATGCAGCGGCGTGGGCACAATCTTGCTGAGGTGACGATGCAGCGGGAAACCGGCCTCGCGGCTGATCGTCCAGGCAAGGCGGGACTGCCATGTCTGGATGGACCACATGGCGCCAATGGTGGTGATCATGACAGGCACCCAGAGCCCGACCGCAGCGGCCTGGCTGCCCGTAATACGGTAGAAGAGGGCAAGCGCTGAGTTGTCGTCGGCCCCGTCGAGGTAAGGCACGTTGATTAGCACCGACATGACGACCAGCAGTCCCGAAACCAGGCCAACGACGATTGTCCATATCAGCGCCTTCGGGATGTCGGTGCTGGGGCGAGGCATCTCCTCAGCCAGATGGGCGGTGACGTCGAGGCAGGAGAAGCTCCAGTTCGCCCCGTTCATGCCGATGATGAACGCGATGCCGTTCTGCCACCCGGACACGTTGATCTGCGTGACGAAGAAGTCCTTGGCAGAGGCGTGTTCCTTCGACATTGCGAACAGGGTGATGAATATCACGACGATGGTGGTGCAGCTGAAGAGCAGCATAACCTTTGAGATTTTCGGGAGCGCTTGTTCAAAACTGGCACCAAAGAGCGTCACGATGTTGAGAAGCTGGAAGCCGAGGAAGCCCATCCATCTCTTGTACTCAAAGGTCGGGTCGAGGAGGGTGATGATGCCGCAGATGCCGACAGGGACGGAGAGGCAGGCGGAAGAGCCCGTGGCTACTGCGGCGAGCCAGCTGATAACTGCTGTGATGTACGATAGGAATCTCTTGTACTTGGGTGGTGCGAGGCGATGGACCCAGATGTACTGGCCACCGGGGTGAGGCATGGCGGACGCGAGCTCGGCGAGCGTTGTTGCTGTTGCTAAGCCGACGAGGGCCATCACTAGGAAGCCCCAGAAGAACAACGGGGAGCCACCCATAGGAAGGGTGCTGCCGAGAACCAGCAACAACCCGATGGCAGTGTTCGTGGTGCCGTAGCCGATGCCGAGGGCGGAGAGGGTTGTGAATGGCTTCATTGTCTGCACGGTGACAGCGCCGTTCGTGATGGAGCCGCGCTCGACGGCGTCATGACCGGTCTTTTCGGGCATGACGGAGACTTTGTTGTGGGTTCCCGTCGAGGAAGTGCGTGCAAGTGAAGTCTGGTTATCCATCATTGCAAAACCACACACCGGGCCAGGGATGATGCTAGGTAGAAGTGGTCGTGATCAACTCGTGATCATTAGTGGTGGTTAGTTGTGGGAATGTCTTGGAAGTTGAGGTGGGGTTCCGGGAGTTATATGCATGCAGCTAAATACTATCTACCGCAGAGTTTATAGTCACACAACTGCAGCCATGGGCCCGATAGTCTCGGGGCGGGGTTACCTCTCAATCTGCCCCAAGATGCGCAACGTTGACAACAGTATCTCAAGTTGAGATAACGACGCCGTGGGGGAGGCACCTGGAATGCGGGCCGTAGACAACAATGCCGAGGATAACATATCGGCCGCTATCAGTTCGCATTCTCGCACATACCTTCCGCATGGGGAAAGGGAGAGCGGCGCCGCTACCGGCGCGGGCCCCACAGTCCGGATGGTCATCGGGCGGTCCCCCGCACCGTTGGGAGGTTGGGCTCAAGAGGTAGCATTTCTGAACATCCCACGGCATCTTTGATCCGGCTGTATTAATGAGCTCCTATCGATGGTCTCTTGACCAGGTGTTGTGTAGGCATACGAGTCAAAGTCACAATGGGCGGAAACGACACCAATGACAGCGCTGATCGTCTGCAAGATGAGCTCGCTCCCTATCTAAGTATGGAAATCAATCTTCCCTGAAAGTAAAGCTAACCGCTTATTACAGACCCTGTTATGTCAAGGTTTCTCTTGAACGTATCTAAGGCCATCTCGCAAGACCCAGGCTTGCCTAAGCCCAACCCGACGGTTTCAGCATGGCAGGTTCCCGAGCACCCAATTGGGTCAATCCAGTCGCCCACCTTTCCCAAGCGTACAGACTTTGCTGTGATCGGCTCAGGTATCACGGGATGCAGCGTCACCAAAACACTTCTTGAACACCAGGCTTCCGGCAGCTCTCACGTCACGGTCCTCGAAGCGAGGACCCTTGTCAGCGGCGCAACCGGTCGTAACGGAGGACACTTAGTCACGGCCTCTGGACACACTTTCGGCCCGCTGGCCAAGCAGCATGGTGTTGAGGCAGCAAAGCAGATCACACGATTCAGCATTCTCAATATTGCACGGCTAATGGAGATGGTGAAGGAGATGGAGCCAGAGCTGCAGGAAGCTTGCCAGATTCGTGATGTGCTTAAGGTCATGGCCGTCGGAGACGAAGAGACCTGGAAGGCGGCCAGGCAGTCGGTTCTAGACTTCCAGCAGGCTGTCCCCGAGCATCAAAGTTATCACCGTATTATTCAAAAAGACAATGTTCCTGAAGTAAGTTTCAAGATTGAGCCACACGTCAATAATCACAGTTAAGCTGACATCATGCAGAGATGGAACATTAAGAATGCATCAGGGGCGGTTGAACACGATGCTGGTGCCATTTGGCCCTACCGACTTCTTACCGGTATTTATGATCGCCTGCTCAAAAGGTACTGTGGGCGTCTTGCGATCGAGGCAAACACGCCGGTTTTGGGTGTCGAGTTCTCTCCTATCAGCGACTCAGACCCTCCAGACCATCCTTATCTAATCATCACCCCACGAGGGACTATGAGAGCGAAGAAGGTGATCCACTGCACGAACGCGTATGCTTCACATCTTCTACCAAAGCTGGCCGGTCGCATATACCCGTTTCGTGGGACGATGTCTGTTCAAACGCCTGGCCCAGCCCTGAAGAACTTAGGAGCCTCCAGATCTTGGAGTTTGTCGCACAAATCTTCCTTGGAAGCGGAAACCGGCTTCTACGACACGGGGCTGTACTATCTTCAACAGAACGCCTTGACTGGGAGAATCTGGATTGGGAACGAAACGGCATACATGAAGGATATTTTGACCTCTGACGACACCTACGCTCCTGTCGAAGCAAAGAAAGCGTTGTCAACCGTCCTTCCCAGATTCTTCCTTGATGGCTGGGGCTCGGAAACGACGTCAGAGATAGAGGCCATCTGGTCCGGCATTCAGGGCCACACAGCAGATGGCCTGCCGATCGTTGGCCAGATCCCTCAAGCCCTTCTAGAGAACCCGGGTGATGATGGGCAGTGGATGGCCTGCGGGTTTAACGGGTACGGCATGGACAAGTGCTGGCTGACGGGCGAGGCTTTGGTCAAGATGTTGTTTGGGGAGGATGTCAGCGACTGGTTCCCACAGGCTTACGTGGTAACCGAGGAACGGCTGCAGAAGGGTCTGACCAGCGACAAGACGTTGCTCAAGTTCGCTCAGATTGCAAAACCAGGTGGCATTAGAAGTGAGAAGTTGTAGCCCTTTTATTGCTTATTGCAATCATAGATATATCATCCCATCATTGTTCCCAAGTTCTTCTCATGAGCCACGTCCAGCCAGTAAACATCAGTACTTCCACTGTCCAAAGCCGACCAGATTTGATTGATGAGTTCCGAAATTACTCGGCTCTTCCTTAGAGGCAGGATGTGTGTGTAGGCAGCCAACCGCGACAGCACAAACTTCCGTGCCCGGGCGACCTCGATCGAAGCCGGATCAATTGCCAACACGTCCAAGTCGCCCGCAGCCACAGATGCAGACTGCAAGTGCTGTGGATTTCTTCTCAACTCGCTTGAGCAAGCAACCATGATGAATGGCTGCGCGCTGCGCGTCCGAGACTCGAACGGTATTTCCCTCAGAATACCCAAGATGTGCATTGCAAGCTTGGTCAACCATGTCTGCCTCTCCTGAGCGGTCGGTGTCTTGTCGGACGGTAATGGCCGAAGTAGATAGTCCTTGTCCCACGGGGCATATCGTTCTTTTAGTAAGTCGGGGAACACACGATAGAGCTGTAAGAGTCCCGTGCATCTATATGCCTCGTCTATGAGTTGCAGGTGCTTTAACGGTGTTTTTGGGTCGCCTGGATCCTTGACTTGGGATAGGTCGGGTGAGCGATGGGCTAGAAGTACACGTTCGAGTTTACGTGCATCCCTGAGTGCGGTTCTAAACACATCGATATCATTCTCGGTGAGGAATTTGACTTTGGAGATGCGCTTTCGGTATTGGAAGACGAGAACGCCAATATCGGCAAGTATTTTGACCGTGTCACGAGAGATACCAGAATACGGATGCGGTTCGTCCGATTTGGCAGACGCTACCGGCCCAAACGAAGAGTTTTGATCGTAACTGCCCAGCTGATGGCTGTCTGTTAGGTAGGCTAGCAGCATTGCCCAATAGTCCATAGTGTCGCCGAGAAACGAGATGGTAGCGTCTCTGCCCGTTTCAAGCATGATGTCTTGCAGGATGTCGCAGCTCGTCCTGAACATGTCTGTGGCGAGGTTCTGTGGAGTGAGCCAGCTGGACGTGTGACCCAATAGTTGAGAGGCGAGCAGCATAGCTTGCTTGTGCGTTGGTGGAGAGTCCTGGCGGAGCAGCTCGAGGGCTTGTGCGTGCTCGCGGCGCGCAATAGGTAGAAGGTGTGGAAAGTCTTCTGATAGACAAGCTGCTGACATGCTTTGAATAGTGTGGTAGAGAGCCCCGGAAGATTGCCACGAGGTCTCGATGATGTTGCGCATGACGTTGGATTTGCTATCCCACGCGCAATAGAGCGTGATAACTTCGCGGAAGAAGTATTCAGATAGGGACGTCGGGATATTGAAAGGCTCCTTGGGTATCTGGATCGACAAGTCGCGATTTGGCTGTATGAGTGCTGTTGATATAGGCACGCTGACTATCTCTCTGTTGCGATCTTCAAACAAGCCGTGGCGTTGTGGTATTTGAAACCCACTTAATCGTGCCTCGGAGGGAAAGCTGGCTTCCGCGAACAGATTATCTTTTGGGGTTTCTTGATGATTAGATGGTGATGACGAGGGATCGTCATCAGCGTCCAGAGCCGACCCAAGGAAAGTTGTTTCTATCGATAAGTCGAGTGCAGACGCCGGTCGCTGAAATCCCAGCATGGCATCCGTGATGGTGCTCAAGCTTGACAGGTCCGGAGGGACAGGGTGATCCCAATGTGGGCTGAAGCCAAACCATGAATTCAACTGGCGGCTACCTTCAGCGCTTGAGTAAGTATTGTCGAGAGCCTCGGTATCAAGAGGGGTCTTTGGTGAAGTAGATGGACCTCGTTGTTTCGGTGAGCCGGCTGTCTCGCTTTGCTTGCCTGCAGTTTCTTCTGCCCGAACTTGGGGTCTTCGCGACCACCGCACATTGAGTGCATATCCAGGACATTGGAAGCCCCTCTCTTCACACCTGGCGCACCCGGGCTTCCTTTCGTCACACTTTGTCTGCCACGACAATGTCAGCGATAACACTGTCGGAGGCTGCTCCGTGAGTCTTACCTTCTTCGCCTTGCACCTAAGGCACCCATTCCTGGATTTTGAGTGTCTGACCTTGGATGAGGACTGCATTGCGTTGGACCACCGCAAGATTAACATGCGCAGGGTAGCTGCCGATTGCTAACAACTTTGCAGTAGTGGGAGGAATAGGCTCGCAGCGATTGATGCTCGCAAAGCGCATGAAGAGGCAATGAGCGGTCCGGCACCGGCATCGCGTGGGTGATAAGACCAGGAGAGATAAGCCATCGTCGCCCACTAGCAATGGCAGATATCGGTCTTTTTATCTAGATGCGGTCACATCATCCCTGCGTTTGCGGTGTTCCCCGCAGGTGATCAACATTAGCAGGATTCGGGTCTGCGGGGTTGGTTGGGAACGGTAAGTAGGATGGCCGGGTTTAACTGACCCTGGTTTCTGATTCTGCTTTTTCACTCTCTCATGACTTCTGCTGGGTCCTAATCTGCAGTTATTTCTTGTTACCATGGTATATGGTGTTGGCTATAGCCATTGGAGAACTTTTCGCTTATTATGCTACTCCAGAGCCAAGCACTGTCGGCGCGCCCACGAGAAACAGACGTTGCCAAGGGCTGGCCGCTTGCCTCTGAACATCTGAAAAGGCAACACTGTTCCAGTCGTATTAAAACACAGTGGAGAGCATAGTATCATCTTTGATGCTGTCTAATGTACACTGCCACCCTTCCAAGATTGGACGAGTCAACGACTTGACAGACGCCAATCGGGGGCGGAGTAGGGTGATTTGTGAATTCCTGCACTGCCTGTCATATTTCCTACAGCCACAAAATCCCAGAGACATTTATTTTTGCGCAGAAAATAGCTGTGCGGCCGATCCACACTTGTCGTGGCACTATTGGCTCAGCCCCAAGTCTGTGTCTTACTGCACAGCCCGAGGCTGTTCGGGGATGGAGATGGTGATGGATACAAATGTCCCTGATATCTCGAGCCAAAAGTTTTGTCATACTTCATGCGTATCTGTCGACTACAAGATCTCCGAGACGATGGCCAGCACTTTCAGAGCAATTGAGAGCAGCGACGACGAGATCGAGCGTCTCAAGTTTACACTCGTATCTGAAGATTCCAAAGGCCACAGTTGCCAGTATTGCAGTGTTTTCAACATCAAGTTCCGCAGGTTGATCGATGGCCGCGTGGAGGCAAGTTCCGATTCCTACTTGGATACGACAGAACGGGAAGTCCGCCGAAAAGCAGAACTAGGTTGCAGCTTCTGGGCAATGATTTGCGATCGCCTTACCCAAATGACACTGACACAGAAGGCAAAGAACATCCTGGGAGAACTGCCCGACGATTTGTATTTCTCAACAGATTCTTTATGGGGGTGGAGGAACGATCGCTTCCTTGAGGCCCTCGAAGGCGAAGAGAAGAGCGAATTCTTACGACTTTGGCGAAAGTCGGGAGTAAACTGGCACTACGCCTTCGAGAGACCTTGCGACGGGCTCGATTTTGCCTCATCCCCTCGAAGTCAATCGCGAGAGAATGCGACCTCATCAGACCTTTTGCGACTCAACTTCTTCAGCAACGGCGATTACTTCCGCTTGTATCTCACATTTGGGCTTTTGGGAGACGCCTCGTTCTTGGTTCTGATTCCCCCGTGTAAGTTGTGTTGGACTCCAATCAATTCCACAGCTCGCATGGACGCTAACTTTGATAAAGCCAAGAAATTCGGGATTAATGCCAAGCGCATGGACATTGCTTCATCCATGAACCTAGAGCCTAGCAGTCCCATGACAGTGGATCTGATCAAATGCTGGCTGCAAAAGTGTGAATTTCAACACCGATGTGGCATTTTTGATCTGCCATCTTCGATGCCGTCCATGATTTTACGGGTGGTAAGTAGGGACTCTGCAGTATTGGTCGAGGTGACGCCAGGAATGAGAAAGCGCCATCTCGCACTGTCCTACTGCTGGGGTTAACACTCCAAGAAGCCCTCTTTAGCAGACGTCGACTTCAGTATCACGAGAACAAACAACGTGGCGTTGCTACTGCGCGGGAGAAAGGATCCTGGAACATGATGGCTGGTTTAGTCGGAGCAATGAAGGAAGTGGGACTTCCTTATCCGAAGTCTTGGGACACGTCACGCGCATGCTATGGAACCGCCAGAACCTGCCTCGCACCTCGGTGGTCTTTGGATACTGGTACTCTCTGGTGCGTACGTATAGCAGTCGATCGTTGACGTATTTCACGGATAGGCTTCCTGCTATATCCAGCACGGCAAGAGAGTTTGCCTCGATCTTACAAGATCACTATGTTTGCGGGCTCTGGGCATCTGACCTAGCGTTAGGGCTAGCATGGACGACTGGCGTGACAGATTTATTTTATGACAACAACTCGGTGAAAGAGCCCTCGTGGAGTTGGGCGTCGTATCTCGGCAGCGTATATTGGAACCGAGGAGAGTGCAAAAGAAACCTGGATTTTCAAATTATTCGGTTCTCTGAAACTCCAGCTGATCCATTTAGAGAGTCTGGGTCGATCGAGATTCACATCCGTGGCATCCTCATGCCCTTCTCATACAACTTCTACGGTAGAATATTCCTCAATGTGAAGGTAGAAGTTCAACCTTCACAACGAGGAATATTCTGCCGGAATTGACGATGACGACTCAAAGAATCCAGAGTTAACGGTACTTAGCGACTATTATGAGGATTCCAGGTTTGGGGACAGCCCTGAGACCGAGATTCACTTGCTGCCACTTATCGTCACCTGCAATCTAAAGGTGCAAGGCCTTGCCTTGATAGAAGATGCCTAAAGACCTGGAAAGTATCTCCGCGTGGGCTTATTCATAAGGAGAAGGATTTGGGCAGTGCCCGATAATTATCCCTGAAGACCACAACATCGAAGAGGACTCTGAGTGGCCCGACGATGCGCCCGAGGATTACCAAAGTCAACTGCGTAGTGCGTTTGGAGGAGAAAGGAACATTAAGGAGATTGTACTGATATAGAGGCTTTTCTTCTTGGTCATTCCCTAATAGTTACTTTTCATATGTTTGGACTACTAAAGCGTTTCGCACCTTTTCCAGTGTTGACGGCCCAACATGACTTGCTCCCTCTCTACCTACCATCGCCGGGCTCCGCATGTGGCTCACGAATCATAGTAAACAGTCTTATAGAGTCACCATCGTCGTCGCAAATCATTTCCTTCTGGAACTTGAAACCCCATCGTCCGTATATAGCCATGTTGGGGACGTCCTTACTTGACTCAAGATAGCACTTCATGTCTTCAGCATCCGCTTGGTCCGTAACCATTTTCATCATCTTCGCCCCGACGCCCTTGCCCTGTGCCTCGGGGAGAACGACCATGATGTTGAGGAAATAGTAGCCCCTGGGGTCTGTCCAGAGTTCTCTTTGGGCTTTGGCTTGTGCCTCTTTCCATATGTAGTATCTCTGTAAGACGACGAGGGCATTAGCATCTCCAACATTCTGCAAGAGCATGGAGAGTGTGTTACCTTGACATTCAGACCACCGCGTCCATACCATATGTTGTAATTTACTTGTCCAAACCATAGACGCCACCCCTCGAGCCAGTCGTTCCACGTTGATGGAGCATCGGCCGGCTGAGGGGGCAGCCACATTGCCACACCAAGTACTTTGTCATTTCCCTCCTCTTTGGCTACGTGGAAAATGCCATTGCGCATCCCCCATCGCATGCGAAGGGCTAGTGACTGGTAGTTCCTCTCCTGACTGAACTATTGATGACCAACTGTTAGTGGGAGGCTCTGGATCAGGCCTTCCAATGCTACCTACTTTGGACTGGTCGTAGACCCACGTGTTGTACGGGTCCCCAGCAAAAGCTTGTCTATACGTCTTATCAGTTTTATTGCCTTATTTCATATCGTATTTCTTTAGGCTCACTTACTGAACTGCCTGGACTGCGCCAGGGATATCTTCCTCAGTGAGGGTTGTGACGTGGATCGCCATGATGAATGATGAGTGATGGCCCGGGAGCGGCGCAAAAGCTGGACGACGCGCGGTGAGATGAGATATCAGAGATTAGATTGGCAATAGTCTCCTTTGTGACAGGTCGCGTGACCGAGAGAACCCATTGACTATTATTCACATCAAAAACTGCTTCCAGGCTAGCCCGAACGCGGGGTTGTCACCGTTTGGCTTCGGAAAGGCCCTGCGGGGTCGAGATAAGATCGCACAGAATTGCCCTGTAAGGTTAGCGGGATGAGATAAGTGATGATAAACCCCACCATCGGCGACAGATCAGCGCCACCGCGCGTGGCATTCACTCCTACTGATTGCGATAACTAATTGATCAACTACATCTGATCAAGTTGATATGATTGATTATCACTGTGACTGAACAATTACTACAGTTGCGACAGCCGAGATCCGAACGCGAAGAATTGATGATTAAGAGCTGAAGAGCGGCAATTGGCCAATCGCATCTAGATGCTGTCACTGCGCCAGTGCGGTGGCGCAAGGAGCCTCAACACGACGTCAATGGTAGGGATACCCTCCGTGGAGCTGGACAGGTGCTTAAAGGCAAAAATCGGACGAATTCAAAACCTTCGTCACGTTGATAGGTTCGTATGCGGCCGCAGCTTATTCGACAGCTAGACCGCCTTTAATATTTTTAACCCCGCGG